ACACTTAAAAAAAAAAAGCATTTGATGAAAGCAGAAAAAAATGTCATCCTGTGCAAGTTGATTTTTCTTAACAAGGACCTGTGTGTGGGTCACTGGGTATAGCCAACACCAGATGATCTACTGAAATAGAACTAAGTAAGAGACAGCTTGCAGTGTGTAAGAACAGACAACATTAGTAATCAGTGTTCCCATCTAAGTGCAGACAGAATGTTCAGACGGCAGGCAATCGTGAGCTCAGTGCTGCCCTCCAACTTGTAACCTCAGATCACAGCAATTGCACAGGGGTCAAAACTGTGGCCCTTCCCTTTAACTCATACCATCAAAACATTCACTCATACTTACCTGGCCTTTGCAAGTTTTAAGACCTTTCTCTAAGTCAGAAACATGTGTGTCCCTGTCATGAACAGCAATATTACTATTTATAGCTTTACAAATATTTAAAATTTAAATGGTATTTACAACTTACTATTTATTTACTGCACCTCAAACAAAGCTACGTCTTGTCGAGATATAGTCTCTGAACTCACCTCATGTTGATGTGGAAGGAATTATTCTTGTTGACCTCAAAGCCTCCAGACCAAATACAATTGGGAACGTCCATTAATCTGACACACAAGAGCTGGTCATAGTCATTCCGAGGCCAATGGAACACCACACTGGAGCCAGGAAGGGTGGAAATGTAACCTTCGGGATTGGCTGTTCCCTAAAACATGTAAGGCAACGAGTCACGCCTAAGTGCCCACTCAGGGCCCTGCCCTCTACCAGAAGCTATTCAGGCATAAAGTGGTTCCTCACATCACGAAACTACAGTGTTGATGGGGAGATAAGCCATGACATTAAAATTCCCTGTGCTTTTAAACACCAGCCATTCTTCAAAAGCAAACTGCTTACCTGTCCCCGGGCAAATTCCCTCTGTGCAAATGCAAGCTTGTGAGAGGATTTATTATCTAACAGGTAACGGGGGGCAAAGATGACCATACAGGTGTCAATATAGCGACCTCGGCCTTTCTTGACATCGATACCTACAAATAACAAGAACCACTGCCATAAATTAGTCAGAAAAAAGAAAATTCGTGGTCTGACAAAAATAAATAGCCTTCACAAGTACTTAGTTTCTCTGAGAAAACAATTATATCATCCAGAGAGGCTGTCAAGACTTCCAAGAATGAAATAAAAACAGCAAATGCACTTAAAGTATTATTCTTTATTCCCATTTAGGTCTTAAAAAGTCTCAGGAGCAATATCAATACCCCATAATTCATAGCTTCTTCATAAAATGTGTACCATTATACCAGCAACTAAAAAACGCAGGATACCTTCAGCTTCCATTTACAAAGTTGACTACTAAGAGGGTTTATGTAATTCATTTCTGCTTACATCTGGGACACAAAATTTCCTCCTAGAGAACTTTCCCCTTTTACAGGATATACTAGAAATTTCAGATTACTTAATTGCATTCTGTACTACTCTGAACTCAAATTATTCTTCTCTAATATTTTCTGTTAGCTCACTGCCCAAGAATCCATCTGAAACCTAATGCTAAATGTTATAGAATTTATTCATTCATAAAATAAATGTTTTCAGTACCTACTAAAAAACAGCAAACAGAACACACAGAACCATAATCAATCAGAAGGGAATCTCAAAACAGAAAGAAAGAAAGAAAAGAAAGAAAGAGAGAGAGAGAGAGAGAGAGAGAGAGGGAGGGAGAGAGAGAGAGAGAGAAAGGGCACCGATTATGTTAAAAATTCTGATAATTTTTAAAATATGAAATTCAGGGGGATGAATTATTTGCTCATTCAGACAATAAATATAGAAACCATATTCAAGCAACTGGGTTGAGCTCTGTTTATACAATGATAAAAATACTTATAGTAGAAATAATACAATATTTATTGAACTCTTAATACATACTACACCCTCTACCGGAGGCTCTACATTTAATTCTCAGAACAATCTTAAGAGTTATTTTCATTCTTTCCATTTTACAGATGAGGAAACTAAGGCACGGAAAGCTGGGGAACTTGCCCTAGGTCACACAGCCAGTAGCTGGTGGCACAACTGGGATTCAAAGCCAGGCAAAGCCTGCCCACAAAAGATGTGTTTAACTTGAGTCTACAGTACCGAGACTCAATTTTTTGAAAAAAGCAGGCTTTTTGTTTCCCTGTGCATCTTAGAGTGCTCTGGCTAACTCCCAATAAATGAATAGCTGATAAGATAAAAATGTACAAAATCCTTGTTTTGGAGGTACTTGGGAGACTAACAGGCCAGGCCATCCCTGGCTTTCCAGCTTGGGATTGTGCTTTAAACCTTCCTGAGAGGCAGCTAGTTATCTGTCCAATTCTGCAAAAATATTCAAATACAAGATTCCACACATTCCCTTGGTATTACATGCCCAGATCTCATGATCCTGAAGAATTACAAAGTCCTATCTTAGCCCACACCGTCTATTCTTTTCCTTGGTATAACAAAATTCAAATCACAGTCTTGTAACTAACAAGTTTTAATAGTTAAGTTTTAATGAGCGCTCCTAGCATATGCATTTATACGTGCACTCACTGCATATTTCTGATTGGACAGCTTGATTGATTGCCCCCCGGTGAGAATTCTATGGTTCCTTAGTGGCAGCTGCTTTAGAAGGCAGCGCTCCATTCCCCACCCCAAATTCGTCCTAACTGTAGCTTCCGGTCAACCTATGGTAGCTTGTATTGGGGTATCACGGACAAAATAACCCAGCAGAAACCCAAACGTAGCACAAAGCTGCCTTTGCCTTTTCAAGACAAATATGAGCAAACAAATGTGAGAAGGGTAAAGAAAACGATCCTCAGCTAGAGGATCAAATAAAGTTCATTTCTTCTATTAAAAATCTTAATGTCAACTTTACAGGAGACAGCTCCCATGTCAAGAGAGAATGCAGACAAATTCATGTTCAAAAACCAGGAAAAGCGAACTATACTTGAAGAGACTATTATTAATAAACCCTCAAACACGTAAACATGTGCCTAACTCTGCGTGGGACCCAGGGTAAACAGCTAAATGATACCACCTCAGTCTTTCCTTCTAGAACATGCCTATATCTGCATTGTCCAATACAGAAGCCACTGGCCATATACGGCTATTTAAATGCATTAAAATTAAATAAATGAAAAATTCAATTCCTTGGTCACAGTGGCCCCATTTCTTAGCGATGTGCTCTCAAGCTCTCGGCAGCCAGGCGTGGCTAGGGCTGCTGTATTGGACAGCGCAAAATAGAACATTTCCATCACAGCAGTTCAACAGACAATGCAGTTCTAGATGCTTTTCCAGCATTCAACACTAAAGGTGCTTTGAGATTCCTGGAAATCATACACTAAAGGAAGGATGCACTGCTAACATTTTAAACCTGAGGTGTATTTAAATCAAATTGATCTAGGGGCCGGCCAAGTGGCGCGTTGGTTAAGAGCTGGCTTGGGACGCCAGAGGGCCCTGGTTCGGATCCCACATATGAGGGCCAGTGACACTACCCTCTACAGCTAAGATGCTGAACAACAGCTCAACCTGGAGCTGGGCTGCCATGAGTCGCCAGTGACTGCATAGGCTGCAGCAGGCTGCCATGGGCTACCGTGTGTAGCCAGCAGCAAGCGTAAGCGGCCAGCAGCCAGCGTGAGCGGCCGTCCAGAAGCCGGCAACTGATCTGCCTCACCCGGGAAGAGCACAATGATGGTGCCAACTTGGGACAGTGAAGCAACGTCCTCCATATCTAGACTGAAGAACAAAAGGACAGCAACTTGTCTGTTCCCCTTCCCCCAATTCCCCAGNGCTATGAAGGGCATTTTAAAGGACCATTTATTGGGAAACATATCAATATTAATTTCTTCAGTGTGTAATGACAATGTATGATTTAGAAAAAATGCCCTTGCCTTTAGGTGATGAGTGAAGTTTTTACGGCTGAAGTGTCATGATGATTCAATTTACTTTCAAATGGTTCAAAAAAAAGAAGTATGTGTGTGTGGAGAGAGAACAAGAACACAGCAAAATGTTAAAATGCAGTAAATCTAGGTAAAAGATGGAGGGGTATTCCTTCACCAGTCATAAATTTTCTGTGGGTCTAAGCTGTTTCAAAATGAAACAGTGGGGAAAGTGAAGAACCAGATGGCACAGGGCTATGCTCAGTATTTGAGGATGGCACACTGAAACCAGTATTTCAAAAGGATTAACAAAAGTAGGTCATCTTCCCCCACCTACACCTCTCTCTCTCTCTCTTTCTCTCCCTCTCAACTTTTTTGTTTAATTCTAAATTGGCTTCCCCTTCTCAGGCAACAGATCTGGGCAACCTCCACTCAGGCGGTATGTAAACCAATGGTGGTTTTAGCTACAGAACTCCTTACCTCCTGGCCCTCCAGCCCCCTAGTGAAATCTTGTTCGAAACACATTATACTAACAGACAAAAGTCTGGTAAAATGCTTCTTCCTGTCTTAAACCCCAACTACACCTAGGAACACAGCTTGAAAACCTCTATACTAGGTACAATTCACTCTAATAAGGGCCAGGGCAAAGGATAATTAAGAAAAGCACACCACCAACAAAAAGAAAAAGAAAAAAACCCTTAGATAACGGCTTTTTTAAAAAGTCAAATATAGATACTATTTTGGATCATCTATGATAAAATTGGCCATTTTTCTGTCCCCATACTATTGTGCTCTCAATGGTGAACTAAGCATAAGTATAAAAGATTAAATTTTGCATCTAAATGTCTTGAAAAACACAGATTTCAGTGTCTTTAGATTCAAGAGCATTTGAGGAAAGAAATGAAAGATGACACAAATCAATGGAAAGGCATCCCTTGTTCGTGGCCTGGAAGACTTACTATTGTTAGGCTGTCAGTGCTCCCCAAAGTGGATCCACTGATTTAATGCAATCCCTATCAAAACCCCAAGTGTTTTTTTTTCACCCAGAAATAGAAAAATTCATTTCAAAATTAAGATGGAATGTCAAGGAGCTCTAAATAGCCAAAATAATCTGGAAAAAAAACAAAAACAAAAACAAAGTTGCAAGTCTCACACTTCCTGATTTCAAAATGTATTACAAAGCTACAGTAATCAAAACAGTAGGAATACGGCATAAAGACAAACATATGGACAAATGAAATGGAGTCCAGAAGTAAACCCTTGCATATAAGGGTCAAATATTTTTGACAAGAATGCCAAGACCATTCCATGGGGAAAGGAGAGTCTTTTCAACAAATGATGTAGAGAAAACTGAATATCCACAAACAAAAGAATGGAGTTGGACCCTTACCTAACACCACATATGAACATTAACTCAAAATGGATCAAAGATCTAAAATGTAAGAGCTAAAACTGTGAAACTCTCAGAAGAAAACATAGGGGAAAAGCTTGATGATATTGGGATTTGGCAATGATTTCTTGGATATGACACCAAAACACAGGCAACAAAAGTGAAAACAGATAAGCTGGACTACATCAAAATTAAAAACTTCTATACATCAGGGAAACACAATCAACATAGTGAAAAGGCAATGTGTGGGAGAAAATATATGCAAATCATGTTATCTCATAAGGGGTTAATATCCAGAACATATAAAGAACTACAACTCAACAACAGAAAAACAAACAACCCAATTTAAAAATGGGCAAAGGACTTGAGTAGATATCTCTCCAAAGAAGATATACAAATGTCCAACAAGCACATGACAAGAAGCTCAACATCACTAATCATTAGGGAAATGTGAATCAAAAAACCTCATACTCATTAGGAGGGCTACTATCAAAAAAGCAGACAAGGGCCGGCCAAGTGGCTCAGTTGGTTAAGAGCGCCAGCTCTGAGCAACAGGGTCATCAGTTAGATTCCCACGTGGGCCAGTGAGCTGTGCCCAAGCTGAGCTGCCTCTGAGCTGCCAACAGGTGGCAGGATGGCTCAGCTGGTGCTCCTAACAACAAGGTTGCTGGTTCCACTCCCGCATGGAATGGTGGGCTATGCCCACCCGCAATTAAGACTGAACACAGCACCTTGAGCTGAGCGG